ACTTAAGAGGGAAACATCAGATATTATTACAGATAATGTATCTCCAGTCAGCTCATTGTGCTTCTGTATGTCTGTAGAAATTTGACTGAGAATCTCTAATACATAATCAGTATGTGGAAATTAATATTTTATATTTAAATTATATTACATTAATATTCTGTGTTTTAAAATACCACACTAAATGATTGAAAAGTTCACAGAAAGCACTGTTTAATGATATTTTTTAAATACTTGTATAAAGTTGATTTATATGTCATCAACCAAAGAAAGCAATATTCTTAGTCCAGATTGATCTGTTATGCTGCATTGCTCTGGTTCACTAAGTCATCTACAGATAAAAATGGATTATACTCTTTGCAGTGGTCCATAATATTAATGATGAATGAAGATTAATTTTGATTCAGTTTAAGATTTGCTGTGTCTGGATGCAGGGGGTAATGCTCTTACATCAGTGATTTTTGATCTAACATAGCTATAAGCTCCTGCTGCTTCCTGAATCAATTCTACTTGCTTACTTTGCCAACTAATGCTTTTGAAAACATTTTTGCTGCACCGTGGCTATTGTTACACATCTGCATTCAGATATATTTGCCCTTTGTTGTGTTATGCTCAGTTGGTTTGTTGATTGCCACATTTCTTTTGTGGTTCTAGCCCTAGCAGGAACTGTATTCTCATGCAGTTAAAAATAAGTGTAATCATTGGATATGAACTGTTACAATAGGACTTTCACTGCAGACAATATTAACATTGGTATTATCATAAAATTGTTTACTTAAACAGCTAAAAATTTTTATCAGCCTAGTGAAGATTATACAAGCAACATTCCTGAAGGTCTTTTCTGTTTGTATTTCTTTTATTCTGTTGCTTATGCTTTCCTAGGCAGTGATTCCTTTACAGTCTGATTTAGGTTATTTAGTAAACAGACAAGTGTGATTTATGGTTTTCCTGTGACACAGATCTACTTTTCTGTATGTGAACAAATGTTTACGTATGGCATTCAAGAAGGGCATATTTATTTTGCTCTGTATGATTCTCTGTTGTGGTGGCCCTCAATTTCTTAATAACTTCCCTAGATGTGATGAGTTCTCCAATTTACTAATATGGGTCATTCTCAATTTAAGATAATACAGCCTCTTGGCTACAACTGAACTTCTAAGATTTATAGTAGCTGTATTCCATTTCTCTATCAGTAATTTGCACCTTGTTTTTCATTAGAAAAATACTTTTAATAAGGTTCTGTATTCATCATGAGAAAAAAAAAAAGGAAATCAATGATAAATTTTCTATACACAGTCACATAATGACTTTTGAAATATGGCACTGAGTAGGAAATGATGTGTATGGGAAGTAAAATTCACATACTCTACTGGCTTTTTCAGAAGCTTGTTGATGAATTCAGACCGAACTGCCTATAATATTATGTGTGTCCTTGAGGTGCACTGAGTCAAATAGTTGAGTTGTAACACACTGTTTTTAAGATTAGTATCTTAATATCCATGTAGTAATAAATCTGTAATTTGTAACCAAACATCTTTGTAGCCAATCTATATCCAGTAATACATTGTCAGACCACCATTTCTGCTCAATTCATATATAAACTCTACAGAACGTTTGTTTAAATTGATTGCTTGTTAATTTCTTAACTCCTTAATTTCTAGTCTCATTCTTTAAGTATCCTTTACAAAATTCAATCATTCAGCTGTCAGTGGGAAAAAAAGTTTCATGCCAGTAGTAAGATTAACTATCTGGATTAAAAAACAAGCCTGATTCACCATAGGAATCTATTATCTTGGAAAAGTCTGAAGGAAGACATTAGCTTTAGTATATATTTGAAGATCATGAAAGGTAGGACTCTGACAGTGCAGGATATAGTGTATTTTAATAAAGACACTATAGCGTCAAGGCTTGTTTGTGTAAATGCTGGGACTACTTGCTGAAGTGAACACAGCCCAACTGCAGATATTTTAATAGTGTGAAGGGCCTCCTAGGTGGGACTCCAGCTGTGTAAGATTTCAGTTAAATTAAAAAAAAAATAATTACAAAATCCAGACATGGAGGAGGAATGCGTTTAGACTTCTGTCTGGAAGAGTTTGTTCTTTACACAGGATACTATTAAACTAATAAGCATCTGTCCTCTGTATTAGATGGAGAAGGTTAAACGCATGCAGTGAATGTGTTAAAATAACCGTTTGGGAAGTTGCAAATAAACACATGAAAGCATACGATCACCAGTTTAATAAATTACTGGGATTTGTACCCTCAAAGCATTAACTCATTTTTCTCTCCTAATTTTATCTTAATGTTGGATTATTTAGAAATTATCTTCAAAGAAGTAAGGACATATTTGCACTATTTTCCTTATAATGGGTAAGAAGAAAATACAGGTTTAGTCTTTTAAATATACATCTGAAATTAAGCTCTTATCTATACTATAAAACTTGAAAGCTATCTAGAAAACAAATCCAATTATGGCTTAAGCACTTGAGAAAGTGAAACCTGATTTAATTACTTCTTTCAAAAGAAAATTGCCTCTTTCAACTTTTTATTATTAAAACTCTATAGTTATTTTTATCACTATAAAAAAGAACAAGCTTAGAAGAGAAGCTCTCTTCATGGAGTTCACGCTCTAGTCTTTGTTACTTAATACTCAAACTGAAAATTTGAGTCCTTATACAAACTTACAATTGTCTAGAAAATAAGCCAGAAAAAATGCTTTATGGTAAATAGTATTTGTATTCTTAGATACGGAATTAGAAAAAAATAATTTAAGCATTAGAAAGAGCAAAATGGGTATGCTTTTTTTTTAATTTCATTGTCTTTATAAAAAGGTTGCCATTATTGCTGAACGAGCATAAAAGTAACAGCAGAAATATTGTGCTTTCTCTTGCTGTAGGAACGGCTTTACCCAATGCAGTGAAAATATGCTGTTATAATATAAAAAAAAGTTGGAAGTGATGAAGTCACATTTCCATTTCATTTAAGAGTTCTAGAGCTGTTTTAGGAGTGAATATAGCTTTACACATAGCTTTGCATTTGCAAGAGAACTAAACATAGGGCCATTGCCCTTGCTGCTGCTCAGAGGAGATCTACAGCCTCTGACCAGTCCTCAAGTAAAAGGGCTGAAGGACAGATAAGAGATGAGACATAAGATTGTACCCTATGCAATAAGATTCAGATATTTGCTCAAATCCCATTTGCCTCCTTGAAACAGCAGTACTTCATGTGTGTAGTATTTGGCTTAGTCTCTGGATATAAAATCAAGTATGATAACCAATTACCTTAAGTATCCGTTTCTCAGGAAATTAGACTGGAATCTTAAAAACTTCATACATCTATATTAAAACCCGAGACTGGCAAATACTCATTTTACAGAAAAAACTTGGAAGATATTTTCAAATTTAGTCGTGTATCACCCTAATGGAATAAGCAGTAACAATTAATTTCTTGCTGGGCAGAATTGTAAGAGAGGCCAGGGAAGAACACATGAGAATGGTGTGAGGAAATTGATGTAATTTTTATTAAATTGAGATAACTTTTTAAAATTTTAATGTAAAACCCACCCAAAGATCTCTGTAGATAAGTGAAATGAGAAGATGTTCTACTATGTTCTACTCTCTCCTTAAAAGCCTATCAAATATATAATGCTGGTCCAAGCAAGTATCACCCAATTAATCCCACTGTTTTTGATGGAAAGTATGAAATACTGTAAAGACATTTGTGAAGACTAGTAGCCTTAGTTGGGTAAAGTGTCATTTTTCTACTATCTAAACAATTAGAAATGTTGCTTAAAAATCTATTACATCTTCATTAGACACTGACTTCTTTTGGCCAATGATACTTAAGATACCTTAGTTTTAATAGAAAAATTGGATGGATAGGAGGACTAAGCAAAGGGAAGTTTAACAGTGAGGAAAGGAAGTAAGCTGAAAGTGGAAAGGAAGAGAGAAAATATTTGTATGAGGAAACTTCCTGTGAAATATTTGGTAGAGAGTTTTGTCTCCAGGTAAGATCTGACGCACATTTCTGTTGACACGTATCATGTAGATAAGCTTTGAGAAGTGAGACTCCTTTACCCATGTGTTGTGGTTGGGCCCAGTAATCCAAATATTCCTGGATTACTTCAAGTATTATTACTAAACAATAGTAATTTTTTCAGATAACCATTTCTCTTTAGATTTGTCAGTTTGCCTATTGAACATTTCTCTATATTAAATTAATTTTGTGTGAACTGAAAAGATATCTTTTTCGGGGGCCTTGCTGCTGCTCACTGCCTAAACCAGAAACTATGTGATAGACAACACCAGGAGCTCTTCTGCTCTTAAGGGAAGTGTCTCATCAGGAAGGACTGCTAAAGAAGAGGGCTAGATACTTAGAAATGTGGATTCTATTTCTGACTTGGAGCACAAAAGTCCCCAGGTTAAATAAGCGAGTTTCTAACAGCATACTTTAAATTTTAATCAACAATGCTGAAGGCTTTGGCTGCTTAAAATACTTCTGTTTTGATAAAGAAAGGTAATTATCACATGATAAGAATAGTTAATTATTATTTCTTTTAAAAGTAGTATAATTACAACTTTGTGCAATTCATGTATATTCCAAAAGTATTGGCGTTTTTTTTGTTGGTCGTTTGAAGTATGTGCAAAAATAATAAATGGGGTTACATTAGCAAAAGGATGTCAACTCCCTTAGTAGTCTGATGGAGAAAATGGGGTCTCTTGTTTCTGTTGTTGTTGTCACGAGTTTTTGAAGTTAATCTCTGTATGACTCATCAATCTTTCAAAGCATGGAATGCTATTTCAGCCAAATCATAAAGGTAATATGATGCTTTCTTAGTGTTTGGACGGTAAAAGGCCTTTTAATATTTTGTTGAGATGTGCATGGTAAATCTAATATTATTTAATTGTAGAGCAAAGCAAGAGCTGTGTTGCATAGGATTATGGTTATGATTATTTTTACCGGTAATTTTATAACTGTGTCCTTTGTTTGTGCTCCATGCATAGGGAGTTGGCCTCTCAGTCCATGGACATTTCCGAGTTGCTACAGAAAAGACACTTTTCGCAATGCCAGAAACAGCAATAGGTAAGTATTTTAACAGCTTATCACATGTGAATGTGTTTAAAGTTACACTGTGTGCGTAATCAGGATGAAATGTCTTTGACTGAAAGCAGTGGCGGTAATGAAAGAATTTTAAAAAGGAATTGGAGATGTCCATAAGTGAAAAGTATTTTCTATGAAATTAATAGAAACTTACCTTTATTCTGGGAGGTTGATCATTGAGGTTCTTAACCTGGGGTTTACTCTTTAGACTGACACAAAGACCATCAGGATACAATTTTTTAAAAATGGAAGTAGATCTGAGGAACTAAGTCTTTGCTACAGATGTAGGCAGATGAAGTCTGAAGATCCCAGTGCAAGTATGTCAACTTTACACGTGGAACTCAGTATGAGTCAAACTGGCTGTACTACAAGCTGATCTGCAATGTTAATGAGACAGATTTTTAAATTCCAGCTTTTCTTGTAGATTATTAATACAGACCCATGACAGTTGTGCACAGATTGTGTGCAGGCGAGATCACAATGTCTTTTTTTTTTTTTAAATAGCAACATGTACCTTGTGTTTTCTAATGTTTGATCCTACAGCTTCTTTGTCAACTCTGAGATGTACAAAAGAAAATGTTGTGTCTCAGAGCTATGTGAAGATGGTGGTACGGCTCAAGAGAAGTCAGTTAGATTAAAGTGAACCCGCCTGTGAAATCACTCATGTTTCCCTTCAAGACAATCCTGGCACCAACAGGGTATCCACATTGAGCCTATTATTGTCTGGCATATATACTCCATTAATGCTTTCATCAGTGTCCAAGTCCCTTCTCCCTGCTTATGAACAGTGCCCAAAATGTATAACCTATCCCGCATTTCTCTCCTGCAAAATTTCTAGTTTCTACATCTTTCCAAAGCAAGGCAGCTGAAGGATGATTGCAATTGTTCTTATCTTTATGTTCTCAAGCAGGAGAATGAGGCTAGCCTGTAATATGTGGCCCTGTTGAACACATTTATTCAGAATAGAGAACCTTATCTGGTGGTTAAACAGCTTAAATGGTACCAGACATGGTGCTATTAGCTTCTCTCTTAGTTTCACCTCAAAGAATTAGTTGTAAGGAGTAGTGACCATTATTTTCTTAAAAGAATTTCCAAACAGTTACATAATGTTAAAACTAAGAAATAATGTAAAAAAAAAAAATCAGGACTCAGTTCTGAAAAGAGAATAAGAGCTATAATAGTCTGCTTCTGTTGAGAATATTTTAAGTACATTAATGTCATTACAACTAAAGTTAAAATGCATGCTTAGCTAATGATTGGATTTTTGTAGTGGCCCCCTGTTAGTAATGCTTAAAAGGTCTAGCATTTTTCATATTTTTAAAGGGTGTCTTACACATATTATCTATTGTTTATTGCTATCCAGCCTATATGAAACATTTCACAAGACTTATTCTGAAATTCTTAAAATATTAAATGAGCTGTGAGTGTCAAGTCAAACAAAACATAATAAACCCCCCAAATATAAGCAAGCTCATTATCATTCTAACTCCTGAAAAAAATATTAGAGCAACTCCTGCTAGCTGATGTCATGTAATTTTTCTGAACAAGTAAGTTTGGGATGAGAAAACACAACCCTATTGCAGCCCTCCAAATATTTTTCTCTGCTGAAGGAAACTTAGTAAACCAAATATCTCAAGCATTAATACAACATGAATTTACTAAACTCCTGAAGTTCATAATCAGGTGTTGTACAAGAAAACCATTTGAAAGAAACAATTTTAAATTTTTTTTTTTTTTTAAACTAAACAGAGAGGTTTTTTGGCATATAAAGTTATTCTAATAATAAAGATACCTTCTTCGCTTTCTTCTTCAAAGGTAAAGACATGAGTAGTCTTATATGAACAAAAATGATGTACTTTACATACATTTCTGGTGCTGACAAGGACTTAAACAGAAATAGACTGTGAAGACATGGAACAGCTTAGAACTTGCTTAGGAAAGAAAGTAATTAAAACTCTTTTAGGATCAATTAGAAGTAAAACCACTGAAATCTGTTTGGATTTAAGGGCTTAGCTGTTTTGATCTCTGTGGTGTATGTTTAAAATGTCTAGCTGTCTAAATATTGTATTAATTGATTTTTTCATATGTTCACTTATTTCAGTAGGCATTACGCCTTTTCTGTGAAATGAAAACAGTGTTCATTCAGCTGCTACATTTTCACACAATTATTCTGCATTTATACACCACCATAAATAAAAGGATATAGATAGATGTGCCACTTTGCAAATAGAAATAAAAGGCAGTTCTAGATTGTAGGAGTTTGAAACTGACATAGATAAGATAAAGCACTGGAAAGCAGCTTAGGTGTAGGAGGGTGTGGAAAAACCACTGGTGGGAAGAACAAACGATGAAAGTATATTGTAAGAAGCGGGCTTTAAGGTGATGTGATAATAATAGTGGACACTTTCTTGTATATATAAGAATTTTACTTGTATATAGTAAAAGTCATTTACTAATAAGTCTCCAACCACCTCCGCAAGATAAGGTAGGAGGGTAGTAGCACTACCTTTATCGTATGCTTGGCGACTGCAGAGTTTCACAGTTGGGATTACAGTGAAGCGTGTTGCATCTGTCTCAGAGCACAGACTGCAAGTCAGCTTTACAGGCATAGGCTTTTAGCCGGGTCAGCCCAGCAGACATTCAGTTCTTCTCTTATTTAAGTAGGGATTTGAGAAATAATTGGTAAACGCTATCAAAAAGAAAAAAAAAGTATATGGAATACATTAAGAGAAACCCAGTAGCAAGCAGAAACATATGGGAGCATTATTGAGACAATTAAGAGGAATATGCAGACAGGGAGAAGAGGAGTAAAATTATAAGAAGAAAGGAAGATGGGGACCTCAAAAAAGATACAATAGAAGCTATAGCGGACTACATTTATGCAACCAAGTAAGTTTAAAGTGGATTAGTTACACCTTCGCTAATCCTGTTTGTAAATTCCTTAATAATTAAAGGAACCTTCATTCAGTTTAGTTTTATTTGCCTCTAAAGTGATTTACGCTAATCAACTTCACAGTTTATTTAGAACTAGTTTCCCTGTGTATGGCCATGTGGAAGGGCCCTGTAAATCCCAACAGGAAGATGGCGTTTCCTCTGGAAACTTACTGGAGCGTGGGGAGAATAGTACTTCAGCACTGGTATTTTAATTACAGCAAAAAGGAAAAGGTTGTTGCTGTTGCAGTCCTGGTGGATGGGGAGAATGATGTAATTGCCTTTTTGCTTTGGAGGGCATTTGTAAGAGAAGTTTCGTTTTGAAATGAGGGATTTTTTTGCAGTAGTACGATATCCAAGGGGAGACAGATGAATAGAAACATAAAACTAAGTGACAGTCTTGGCATCAACGTTATAGATACGATGGCTCAAACTGAGAAGGTAAACTGCAGAGTAGACTATTCAGAATGTGCCTGAATCTCACCAGCCTTGTTGCCCTTCTCTGGACTCGTTCCAACACCTCAACGTCCTTCTTGTAGTGAGGGGCCCAAAACTGAACACAGTATTCGAGGTGCAGCCTCACCAGTGCCGAGTACAGGGGCACGATCACTTCCCTGCTCCTGCTGGCCACACTAGTTCTGATACAGGCCAGGATGCCATTGGCCTTCTTGGCCGCCTGGGCACACTGCTGGCTCATGTTCAGCTGGCTGTTGACCAACACCCCCAGGTCCTTTTCCGCCAGGCAGCTTTCCAGCCACTCTTCCCCAAGCCTGTAGCGCTGCATGGGG